TGGTTTTTTAAAACGTTTTTCCCTTTTTTCCAACAAACCCCCCTCCCCCCCCCTAAAAAAAAAAAATTATTTTCTTCTCCAGGGTAAATCGCTCTTGTTGTTTCAGAGTTTCCTTACAGGTAATGTTTCCCAGGCCCCTAACTATTTTTGTCACTCTGTGCTGGACTCATCCCAGTCTACCTACATCCTTCTTGAAGTGTGGGGCCCACACCTGGATACATTATACTAGGTGAGGCCTTGCCAGTGCTGGGTAGAACAGAAGAATCGCTTCCCTTGATTTGCAAGTGACACTTCTGTTAATACAACCCCGTGTGCTGTTGTCCTTTTTGTAACAAGAACATGCTGTTGACTCATTCAGCTTATGGTCTACTGTAACCTGCAGGTCCTTTTCTGTAGTACTGCAGCCTTGCAAGTCATTCCCCATTTTGTAGTTGTGTATGCAGTGATTTTATCCTAGATGTAGGACTTCGAGCTTGTCCTTGATCATCTGATTAATTACAGACTATTTTTCCAGTCTATCCAGGTCCTTATAGATCCTAGCCCTGCCCTCCATTGTGTCTGTCACTCCACCCAACTTGGTGTCATCCACAAATTTATTAAGTGTGCACTCAGTCCCATCATCCAATTCATTATAACAGTATTACTTTATTTACTCAAATCCAAGACAAGTGTTTTTTTTTCTCCCAATCAGTATGGGGGAGGGGACAAAGCCTCATCTTGGATTTGATTACCAGTTCAAGGCAGGGGGTGGCTCAGCACTGGTTTGGCCCTGGCTTAGGGTTGAAGTCAGAGCTGAGCTGCTGCTTGCCCCAGGTCAGAATATCTTGTTTGTTGAGGGAGGGGGCAAATGGCCAGGGTGAGGGAAGGGTAGCAGAGGAAAACGGCAGCTTATCCCTCCCCTCCCCACTGCTTCCCTCACCTCCTGCTCCCCTTCCCTCCAGGTGCCCCCTCCCCACCTTACTTTCTGCTTCATTTCTGATCCCTTCAGCCCCAATTCAGCCTGACTGGGAGGTGCTGCTTGTTCTCCCCACCAGACTTACCTGAGGGTAAGGGGTGGAGAGGGTGGGCATGTAGGGGTGATCAAGGGGTTGGGAGGGCAAGCTGCAGGGAGGCAGGAAGTGGGAAGTCTGGCTGCAGTACACAGGCACAGACATGGAAGGGCAGGTGGCAAGGGGGTAGGCAATAGGGGGGCATATAGTGGGGATAGGCACAGTGGGGGACAATGGGTGGGGCTTTTCCCTCTCATCCCCTGCCACAGCAGTGGGGAAATGAATTCAAGACTACCTTCCACTAATTACATTTGCTACGTGGAAAATTTTATAAGGAATTCAGTTTTTCATGTAGAGAATCTAGTTACTGTGGGGGAGGGGAGTCATCTTAAATTGAAAATCATCTTGATTTTGGGTAAGTATGGTAAACGATACCAGACCCAGGATAGATCCCTGGGAAATCTCTCTTGATACCTCCTCCCAGCTGGACATTGAGACATTATTCCTAGTGATTCTTTCAAGTGAATAAAATGTTAAAACACAAAATGTTTAACTGAAGTGACAGACTGCAGCATAATGCAGGGATGTCTAACTCTGGCTCCACAGGCTGAATGAATGGTGCATAGCCTGCTCCATAGGTCGCATATGGCCTATGGACCTGACCCCACTCCCCAGCATGCTGGATCCAGAGTATTCAGCGACTATGCCAAGACTCAGGCTGCACTTAGAGCCCACATGCAGTGTGTGTCCCAGGCCCTGCATGCAGGGCTCGGCTGGTGCCTGCCACATGTAGTGTATGGGTCAATTCCAGACTCAGGAGCAGCTCTGGGGGTCAGTTGGTGGATGGGGCTCTGCAGGCCAGATTTGGTCTGCAGGCTGGATCATTGACATCTACGGCTTAAAGGCTATAATGTTTAACTGGTGATGAAAAGGGGGATATTTTTTTCAGTAGCCTTGTTTTCTAAGCTGCCTGTCTGACTCTCTTCAGCTGGCTTTTTTCTATCTTCCAAAGTCTTGCATCCAGTTTATTCTGCTTGGAATTGAGAATCCATTGCTATATTAAAAGTGTGACTTCTTACCTCTAAGTTACCAAAAGCTTATTCTCTCATGCACTATGACTGTTTAACACCTTCAGTTGATATATGCAGGTATTTTGGGGTTGCCTTTTTTTTACTAATGTTTAACCTGTGTTTGTCGTCATATGTTGTAAGGCCATGATCTTCCAGTTGGCCACCTTAAATCCAGCCCTGATTTTTGTGATTGCAGTTGCCTAGCATGAAGCTCCTAGTCTCTTATTTCTGGAAGATCCTTTTTACAGAAAGACATTTTAAACAAAAGACAATGTGTTGCTTTTCTTTAGGGAGATGTGAAAAAGCAGCTAACCTGTTAAGGAAATTTCTTTCTCTTGTTGCAGTCCTTTGAGCTCTCAAAAATGTTTCTTTGCAAAATGAAACAAATGTCAATTGAGGCCCTGTCAGTGCTAAGTAAAGTAAACTATCTAATCTGTGTATTTACAATGTTTGTTTCTTGCTTTGTTTTCAAAGTGAATCTCTTCTTTCTCTGGTTTCAGTATAACATCTCTGTGGGTAAAGAAGTTCTTCCCATCTCTCTGCCAGTCGCAGTTTACACATACCTTTAGTGGCTCTGGAAATAATGTAAAATGCAGTAAGAATGCTTAGTAAGAGCCTAATTAGATTCAGTTATTAAGATTAATGTTAAAAGTAATCTTAAGTTTATTAAACCTAATATGCAAGCCCTGTTTCTTACAGTGTGACCTTTTAAAATAAATAATGAGAAAACAAAAGCAGATGAACACTACAAATCTACTTTAATACTAAAATATAGTTAAACCAGCAAAACCCTCCAAAAAGAAATGCCATCCTATAAGAATGCAGTATAACAATGTAGATTAAGCACTTTATATCCACAATAATCCATCTAATGTAGGACTCGTATTAGCATCAGCAAGAAAAAAATCAGTCTCTCCTGAATTTATATAATTGTTATGTCAATAACATTTTTAATTGTAGAGCTAACCTAGGAAGCCTCTAAATAGATTCTTTTGGAATTAAGTTCAACTAAAAATCACTTTAAATTCTGAATCTGGTTTAAAAAAAATCATTTGCTTTCCATTCTTCATTGTCTGCTCTAGTTCAGTATTCTTTTGCTTTGCACAAGTCAAAACCAACCTTAATACAATTCTTTTTGGTTCTAAATTATACAAAGCTTTACAAATTAGTTTTGTAAATCATTCTTCAAAAACTATTTTTTTGATCTCTGCCTCCCACCTGAAAAAGCCGCTAGGCTTCTGCTGTAACTTCCCTTGGTAACTTGGTACAATTTGATGGTGATGTCTTCTCCATCTACACGTTACAGAGTTTCCTATGCTCTTTCCAACTACTCTGTCTCTCAGTGCAGTTACTGGCAAAGATGAGCTGAAAAAGCTCTTATGATTTTATGAGCCTCATTCTGCCCCAGAAAGTGTTACCTATGTTGCAGGTGGTCAAAAACAATCCCATCAGGCTTTTGCTCAAAAACTAGGGAACATCCCTATAAGCATTGTGTCTCTGAGCAAGTGCCTTATGTCTTGAAAACTTACCCTCCCAAAAGAAGATCTTTCAATACAAAGAGGTTTTTTTACAGTGCAGTTCATTGAGCTGTAAGCTTGTTTTCTTTCCCATTTTCCCTTCTTACTCCCTCTTCTGCACCCCCCCACCAACTTTCCCTGCAAAAAATCTACCTTTTTCAACATATTGAAATCAAATAATTGCTTTATTTGGGTACCTATGGTTAGCTTATCACAAACTAATCAAAGGCAAACCTTTATCTTACTAGAACCCATATTCATTGTGTTGATACACACTTGATGCTTGAAAGCCTTTTGTCAAGGGGAATTTAATATATTTGTGATATTCATAGTGACTGCTGAAAACTCCATTTGTTTGAGCTTAAGCTTCTTTATGTATAAGTTGTTTTCTTGTTAGTGTTAGATCAAAGTGAGTGCAACTCTGAGATTAGTGACTGATTCATTTTTGTCCAAAGTTTTTCATAAATGTAACCAGAGATCCCTCTAGAAAGGGGTGTTTCCATCTAAACAAGAATTTTCATCTTACCAAGCTTAAGGTCTGCTCCATGCATGATTACTGATTTCCCTCCCTGCCACCTCTCCCGTATTCTCAATGTCAAAAGGTCATTGGGATTCTATTTGTGGCTGCAAAAAGTCTTGGCCGCCCATCTTTGTGTTTCATTTTGCACTTGCTCACCAGATAGCTAAATGCACTTTAAGGTTACAAAGATCATAAAACAATAATCATTAGGGCTGTTTGAAGCTTTGGTTCCTGGTTCGATCTGGCGGAGATTTGGCCCAGTTCAATGGCCGAATCTCCAAATCGAATCAGGAGACCCTTTAATCTCTCCACATTGAATCGGAATCGTCCAAATCGATTTGAAAAGATTCACAGACACAGCTTTAAAAGTTTTTTCTATGTACCTCAAGGTACGAGGCAGCTCATTAACACTGCAATGGTAGGGCGGATGGAGCATCCCACGGGAACTCGGCAGGGTCCCCAGCACGCTCGGCAGCAGACCCAGAAGTGGACCAAAATCACTTCCAGTCCACTTCTGGGTTCACTGGGGAGCACACTGGGACCCTCCCCCTAGCTCAGTGACTGGTGCTGGGGGTGCAACACGGGGTCTCCCTGCGGCTGATTGCAGAGCCGGGGAGGTGGGGGCAGACAGTGTGCTCCCCGGCAGACCCGGAAGTGGACCAGAAGTACTTCTGGTCTACTTGCAGGTTTGCCGCCAAGCAAGTGGGGTGGGGGGGCCTGCACTCCTGTGGGACGCTCCATCTGCTTCAGCATCTCAACATTCATGAGCCATGCCTGGTACCTTGAGGTATGTAGAAAAAAAATTTAAAGCTGTGTCTGTTGCTGAATTACTGATTCTCTGAAACAGCGTTGAATCTTCAGATTTGGATTTGGCCAAATCAAATAGGGGACAGTGATTTTTATTGGCCGAATCAATTAATCGAACCACTGTCACCAATTCGGGCCAAATCCAAATTGAATGTGGCCCATTTCACACACCCCTATTAATCATCACATTTCTAGAATGACAGACAGAAGGCAGGGCAGGGTGCCACCTTGGAAACTTAACTGGTTTAGAGAGGCATGAGCTTTCATAGGCAACAGCCTACTTCATCAGATGTTTATGAAAGCTCATGCTTCTTTGAACCAGTTTGTCTCTAAGGTGGCACTCTGCCCTGCCTTCTGTCTGATTTCAGACTAACATGGCTAACCACCTCTCTTGTCTAGAATGAGGTGACAGTGCAGCCAGACTAGCACTGCTTCCTACTGAGATGTTATAAGTGCAGACTTCTGTAAGGGAAGGATGTAATCCCCTGTGTACATACTTGCAGAGCATTATTACTTGGATCTGGCCCCATGAAATGGTGACTGAATTTTATTAGTAGAAGGAACTGTTTCTTAGAAACATGTATAGCTAAAGGTCCAGTTCTGCTTTCCTGGCTTGTCTTAAAAAAAAAAACTTATTGACCTCAGTGTGTTTTTAGAGGCATTTGTTAGAATAAAAAGTGCCTTGATTAATGCTCTTTATCAAATTTTACAGATAATGGAAACCTTGACCATGGGTGAAATAAGTGGAAAATTTACACTTAGTAACAGGTTAGTTACTTAATTTGTGTTTCCTTTGTTTTTTCTAGAAGTCAACAGTAGAAATCTGCCTCCTGTGGCTAACTTTTCAGGAACAACCTTAACAACAAACCAGGTAATAAAAAGATTAAATAAATGGTTCTAAAATGCTTTATATACATTGGGATAATATGTACCTGTGGTAACTTGAGTTAACATTTGAAGGCTTTTCAGACAAGTTTTCAAGCAGATTTCTTTTCAGCCTTCATCTAATTCATATAGAATCAATTTTAAATAGTTGCACTAATGTCAGTGAGTATTGGATTAGGCCTCAAGTTGTCTGAACAGTTTGCCTAATTGTGCAAGTAACTTGAGTATTTGCACATGCAGTGGGCCCAGCTGTGCAACCAGCTGGCTCTCTGCATGCATTTTTTGGTTACTTGTGAACTTGTCTTCAAGCAAGCAAGCTGGACTCATAAGCTGAGTGGCTAGTGGAAAACTGTTCCTAACATATACTGAGAAACCAGAACACTGGTGAAGTTCAGAAGAATGGATCTACTTGGTGACTTTTCCCCCCACCAAAAAAGTGAAGCCAAAGGAGTTAGTAACATTGTTATTAACATTGTCTTAAAATAATACATATTTTGAAATCTGTCAAGTCTTCATTATATGAGACATAATTGGGCTGATATGTCATCCACAATCATTTTTAGGCCTTTGGTCAGCAATTGGTGGCCCTTTTCCCCAGCCTCTGTCTGGCTAATTTATTGCTTTTAAATTCTGTTTGGCTGTTGGATGCAAAATACAATAATGGCAGCTACAACAAACATTCAGCATAGCTAAATGAAACCAGCTGACATGGCAATATAATTGGAAAACCAATGTGATGCCTGTTAGTCCTTGTAAAGGAAATTCCAGTCCATAATCCTCAGCTCTTCCTAGTTTGTGTCTGTTCATGTAATTATAAGGGGCCATGGGAGGAAGTTTGAGCTTGCTCTGCAAACATTGGAACATGGATAGCTGCTTAGGAGAGTCTGAAGTTGCCATATCTGACTGCAGCCAGTCTTCTAACCTGCCAGAAAATAATAGTTATAGTCTAGAAAAATGGCAAGGTTTCTTCTTAAGATAAGATTGCCAGCCCAATTTGGAATATTACATCACTTAAGTATGTTATCAATATGTTGCTTTCAGAACTTCCAGAGTAAACAGAAAATAGTGCTCAAAACTGCCCAGATGACTGCCTGTATAAATAGTATAACTAGTCAAAAAAGAATGTCTTTCATTGCTAAAAAGTATGAGTGAAACTCATTTATCAAGACACTGAAAATAAGTTTTGTTTTTTCAAAAAGAAACAGCGAAAAACCGGAAACAAAATCAGAAAGAAAAAAAATAAAACTCAGGAAGTCTGAGCAAGATCTAGTACATTCTGTACATTGTAAGAATTCAGATTTTATGAGAACCATGCATTAACTTTTGTTAGACACCATTCATGAAGGGGGGTTTAATTAGGGAGCTTAGGTGTAGTCAGAAAAACTATTAAGATGTTTGTTTGCAAGTAGACTTGGGAGTAGAGCAAGCCCTGAATACACCAGAGAGACCCCCCCCCCGCTCACCTATGCCTGCCATGTATGTACCTGAGCCCACAAATCAGGCAGCATAGGTAGCATAGGAATGTGTCATAATGCCTCAGAGTGACGCTGAGCTTCTTGGGGTAGATGTAGATGTGTTCATGGCCACTCAGGGGCACTCCTGAACCATTGAACCATCTCAGAGTGGGTGGGATTTTTCTGTAAAGTGGTGTTTCTGGATTCCCAACTAAGGCTTAAGCCTCTAGAACCATATATGTTTTAGCTTAACTACACTGAAAACTAGGTGACAAGCAGAACCTTACTGAGAAATCACATGCTTAATCTTACCTCAGCTGTTCCTATATAAAGTATAATAGTATTAGCGTACACAAAAGAATGTGTGTTAAGCATTTGATGCTCTTTTGGGGATGGGGGGTGTGTATATACATATATCTTTCAGAGGGTATGATTATAACGGAAATAATATGTTCTTGTTTTACAGTTATGATCTACTTTTATAAGTGAGCTGCATTGGCTGTTTGGAGTGAACATACAATAATGAGTGGTGCAGCTTTGGGCATTGAGATAGTATTTGTTTTTTTTCTGGCTTTATTCCTACTTCACCGATATGGAGACTTTAAGAAACAGCATAGGCTTGTACTTATAGCAACATTGTTGGCTTGGTATCTCTGCTTTCTGATTGTATTTATATTGCCTCTGGATGTTAGTACGGTAAGAAACTTCTGAGATTTTTCATCTTTGTAAAAGCACAGTATAAATATTCCTTTATACAAAATATATCACATATACAATGTATATAATTATGTAAGTTACTAGAACATAAATACAGTTGTATAAGTCAGTAGACAATTTTTAATTATGAGAAGGATCTTATTTTTTGAAAATGTTAAGTTGAATAAAAGGTTCTTGGAGAAATACCATCAAGCTAAAAACAGTACATACTTAAAAGGAATTTGGAATGTATGTATTGAGCATACTAAAACTTCAACAACGAGTTTTACATTTTAAATTCATTATTTTTGTTGCTGCTTTTAGCATTTTCCTGATCCTTGCCAATGTACGGGCACTAATCAGTTTTACTCCCCTCTGCCTTCCTTTGTCCTCCCCTCCCCCCCCATCAATTTCTCCACTACCCCCTTTTTTTATGCATTACTTCAGTGCTTAAATGCAAACCTGGAATGCAGGATACGTATGTCTTTTTAATAACAACAATCTGCTTCTGGGATTAAGGTGCAAAAAACACAGAAATATCATTGATTGTTTGGGGCTATATATGAATTACCCTCTCTCACTCTGATTCTTTTTGCATGTGTTTCACATTTTGAATTAGTTACTGGGATAATTAATTGGCATAATATTGGGTGTTTTTGTTTGTTTTTAGACCATATATAATCGGTGCAAACTTGCTGTTAACTCCAGCCCTCCAGAAAGTAACAACAATGGAACTTATACTACCCCTGCTCCAAGGTATTGGGAACAATGTTGTTTGTTCTGCATCAAAATGTAAAAAGAATTTATTTTTGTGTGTGTTAAGTGAGCATAAATATACCAGGTATTTCTAAAATCAAGCAAATGGAGCACACTCCCTCTAGGGCAGGAGAGCTAAAGTCAGCATATGATAACTAAAGTTTGTAAATGCCCAGTTAAGTGAGGGAAAGAAAAAAGGGACAATAAGAACGGTTAATAAGGCACCAACACAGCTTATTGCATCAGTGTTTGATTATTTAAGCATGTTGATTCCTGTGACCTTTCCTTAGGCTCCTTTGCTGTAGACAAGATAACAGAGGAATATGAATGTGCCCAGCAAGATGCCTTTGTGAATTTCTTTCTTGCTTCCACAGTTCTAAAGCTTTTATAGTATTAGACCATGAGAGTTTTGAGAGAGAAGCTTGCCCCTGTGTGTGTTGCTTGTAGATGACATAGTAGATTTGGGTAAATTCCAAGCAGGTCTAAAGTTTATGGCAGAAGCTTCACATGCCCAAGTATGGAGCACTGAAATCATAAAACCAGGGTTTCTCTTTGGGTTTACCCTGTTCAGCCTTGAATCTATCACTTTCTCTGTCAACTATTCCCATACTTGAAAAATTACATAATACTCTTACTTCTTACAGATAAGTGGAGTAGTTGTTTGTACAACACTTTGAGAACCTGGGATCTAAGTGGGTACCCAAGTAGGAAGTATCTTTTTTTTGTTGTCCCAAAGTGGCAAGATAGTGTTTATCCCTGAAAGATTTAAAGACTCACCTTTACCAGTGGCATATGCATTGTTTTTCCCTTTGCTGAGTATAAATTAAAGTCTTGAATTTTAAGACCCTTTAGCATTTCCCACATAATGCATGTTTCTATTCTTGTACAGTTTTAAGAAGCTAAAAGCATTTCAGGTTTCTTTTAAAAGAATAATTGTTATATAAATAAATATTAACATTAGAGGTGCAGCGATATATTGGATTGGTACTGCCATAAAAGGAAAATTAACACTATTAGCCTTTTTGACCAGTGTAGCTGATAATATCACAGATAAATGCTGCATGCAGCAGCAGCATGCATGTGTACAACGCAGCCCAGCAGCTTGGAGCCAGTAAGTCAATGGAGGGAAGGACTGTTGTCGGGTAGATCGAGGCCCCCCTGGTGAGGGAGGGAGTGGCATACAGGTAGTGGCAGGCACTGCCCAGGCAGGGATATGAATGAGACCCTGGGAGCAGGACTGAGCTGTGGGAAGCCTGTCCAGGGCTAAAGTGGGGGGGGTGGGAACGGCTCCCTGTCTGCTGCTGCATGCATCCCTGAGAGAGGCATGGAGGGCATGTGTGCCCCTGGATTTGTGCACAAGGTGAAGGTAAGCTGCCTGCTGTAGGCGCAGGGCCACAGGCTGTGATGGCTTCTTCCCAGCCCCTACCCCACTCCCTCACCATGGGGACCTTGGTCTGCTGCCCCCACCCCCCCCCACACACACACACACACCCCTCTTCCCCTCCCCACAGACTTACCGGGTGGATGCTGCTCTCCAAGCTGCTGGGCTGCATTCCTGCAAATCAGCTGTTGGATTGGTATTGCCAATGTGGCTGGTTAATAATTGACCATTGGTATCAGCCAATAAAACCTTTATTGGTGCACCTCTAATTAACATGCTTGGTCTAAACATACCAGTTCCTGAAAAAGTGGCCTGAACAGTAGGTTCTAGTGCAAGGAGTTGAACCCATCCAGTTGTGCTGGCTCTGGCTGGGTACCACACACAGCACGTACCCCATGCTTGCCCCCTGTACTGTGTAAAGCCTGTAGCCTGTTCAGACCTGTACTGTGTACAGCATGCATTATCTCCAGGGCTTGACATACATGCAGGTTTTGAGACTGGCATGCTGTGCATGCTGCCTGCAGCATGCAGGCTGGACATGGCATTACATGTAGCACAAGTGTCCAGGGAGCAGGTTGCATGCAGCACCCTGTATTGACCTGACCACCTGCACTGCCTGCAGTTTGTGTAGTGTGGTGTCCAGGCTTTGTTCCACACGCAGCATGTGGGGCCAGAGCTAGGACATGGGGTTGGTCCAGCACCCCATGGGCTGTGTTTGACATCCCTGCGTTAGTGCTTTTTCTTTCTAATTGAATGCCAGTCTTTTGAACTGTGCTGCTTTTTTCATTTAAGGCAAATGTTCGTTTCTTGTAGAAATATTTGCTTTATGTGATATTTTACCATTAAAAATGGTATAAGTTATATGATAGTCATTCTAAAATAATTCAGTAATTCAGTGGTGATAATTTTTCAGTAGATGTTATGAGTTTTCCTGAGTAAAGAAATTCTGCATTCAGATTTCATTTTCCCAGAGCGTGATGAAGGGACTTTGATGCCGAAAGCTTGCAGAAAAGGACAGTTTTATTGCCATTTTCCAGCTGGTCTAATAAAAGGTATCATTTTGGAACCAAGAGTTCTAGTTTTCTGTATATATATTATTAACATGTAGCACTCTCATCTTACTACAGGAAACAGAAGTGTTTCAAGCCATGGAGTTACATCCCTGATGGAATTATGCCAATCTTCTGGCGTGTAGTATATTGGACATCACAGTTCTTAACATGGTAAATAGTGTAAAAATTGAAAGCAAAGGTTCTGTGTATAATATGAAAACGCCATATGCTAATATCTACACCTTTTTAAGATGATGCGATTACAAAACAGTTACAAATATTATAAATATATAGTCTAATAAATAAATGCATCTGCTTCCAAATAAATATATAAAGATATTTTAATTCAAAACAGCAATCTTTTGCTAAATTAGATTACAAATATATCATATCTTTAAAGCTATACAGGCAGTCCTCGGACTTATGACACAATTGGTTCCTGAGAACCGTGTCTTAAGTTGAAGTGTTGTAACTCAGAACCAATTTTCTCATAAGAAACAATGTTCTAAAAGGGTGATTGGTTCCTGAACCAAGGCCTGATACCCTATTTTCACCAAAAATACCCCAGAATTTTTTACTCCATCAATTACAGATGAGTAATATAGCTACATTAATGTATTTATATCATAAATAGCAATCATACTGATTTGGAAGTAATTCTTTGAGGTGACTTTACTGGACTTTTTGAAGAGCTCTTGGACTTGTTGAAGGGTTCTTGGCTCAAGTCCTCTCAGGTGTCTTGGCTGCAGGTTTTTCTGGAGTCTTGTTTGCTTTCTTAAAGAAAGTGTCCAAGCAAGTTTGGACAGATGTTCTCCAGGGAGATGAGCAACACAGCAAACTTGTTCACTGGCGTGGTGTGACATCACACCAAGCATTGTAAGTCAAAACTGACGTCATAAAGTTAAAACAGGGTGTCAATTTATAAACATAAGTGCGAAACGTTGTAAGTTGAGGGCTGCCTGTACTTTCGGTTTTCTTTTCATGTATAGTTTTTTAGGAACAACTCTTATGTTTGTTCAACTCCTAACGGTAGAAAATGGTTTCACTGTTGGCAATGTTTTCATTTTCAGTATCTTTTTGAAAATAGGTCTTAAGTTTCTTATATTTTCTTAATTAAGAATAGGCTATAGTTGTTTTCATAGAAGATCCATAGAATCATAGAAAATTAGGGTTGGAAGGGACCTCAGGAGGTCATCTAGTCCAACCCCCAGTTTTCCTTTGTAAATGGCTCATTTCCCCCTAGTTCATGGTAGATTGTGTCTTGTTTAAGATGAGAAATGATCCACGAATGTAACATTTCAGCTTCTAGGTTATTAAAAAGAGGAACACAGCCTCTTTACACAGTAGTTCTTTAAGTTAAAGAGAAACTTTTAATCCACATAGGTTATTTCAAGGCTTGTTTATCAGATTCAGTACATCTCAAAAGTAAAACCTAATATAATGGCTAACAAGTTTGCTAATTGAACTGTTACCAGGTGATTGTTGTTGCACCAATTGACTACTATTAATATATTTTGCTTGTGTTTTCTAGGATTTTGTTACCTTTCATGCAGTCATATGCTAGGTCAGGAGGATTCTCCATTACTGGGAAGATTAAAACTGCATTGATAGAGAATGCAATCTATTATGGCACTTACTTGCTGATTTTTGGAGCCTTTTTGATATATGTGGCTGTAAACCCACATTTCAATTTGCAATGGTAAGAGAAATGCTGTGGCAAGCACTTGTCTTACTAGTTAGGTTTGGGGTTTTTTTTAGTTCTGTATGCTAACATATGCCACTGCAATGAGAAAACTAGACACTGTTAATCTAATATGGAATTTATCAGGTGTATCTGTTCTTCACTGTAAGTGGGGGAGCTATCCTTGTTTGAGATTTTTTTTCTCCCTGAAATTTACTGCTGTTGGTTTGTTGCTGTCCCGCTTTCTGCCCTGGCTCCAGGTCACTGCCCTGGCTGGCCAGTGTCCGCAGCCCCAGTCCCTGCCCCACTCCCTCCCTCACCATGGGGGCCTTGATCTGCACTCCCCTCCACCACACTTCTTCCTCTCCACAGACTTACCTACAGGGAGCTGCTCGCCATGCTGCCTGGCTGCATACCTGTAAAATGGTTATCAGATCGGTATTAGCCAATGTGGCTGGTTGTTAATCTGCTATCAGTATCAGCTAAGAATCTTTAGCAGTACACCCCTAATAAAAAGAGCCATCCAGCTACAAAGTTAGTGCTTGAAAATGTGTGACAGTTCTATAGCTGGTTTCTATCTAGCTTTAATTTGAACCTGTGGCAGGGCCTTCAGTGTTTCTCCAAAAGCACTAGCTTTAAAAAATATTAAACTCCACATTGACCTAATTCCTCTTTAAATACCTTGGAAATATTAGAAAGTGTTATTGGTATCTCCTGTTGGTTCTAGCATGGAAGGTACTGCTGCTGTGTTCACTTGTTTTGCCTACTACAACTCTCAACTCTCAGAGTTAGGAAAGAGGTGGTGCTTTTGTATTTTTTTTTCCAGTCTAATCTGCTCTCTATCACTATACAGATAGGTTTTTTTAACAACTGTTTCTGTGGAATCCTTTTTTCTGGATATCTTTGATTTCTTTCTACTTTGGTTGGTCTGATCAACATCTCCAGAGTTAGCAAGCAAAGGCAATCTATGGATATCTTTAGCATAGTGGTAAAATTCCCAACCCTGAGAAAGGTGTCCCATTTAGAACAGGACCTCTGGCCTCTTTCAGAAACTTGGGAGACGTGGAAGATCCTAGCAGTTTCCAGCATAAAATCCCTTTCAGGGCAGAACAGAATTAATAATTACGAAATGCATCTTGTTTCTTTGTATTTGAAAACGTAACTAATTGATGATAATTTATAAATGCTTTACTGTTTAAGGAACCAGCTTCAGACAATTGGAATAGCAGCTGCCAACACATGGGGTCTTTTCCTCCTTGTGTTGTTGTTGGGGTATGGTTTGGTAGAAATTCCTCGTTCACACTGGAATGGAGCAAAAAGGGGCTACCTTCTCATGAAGACCTATTTCAAGGCTGCCAAACTGATGACTGAAAAAGCAGATGCAGAGGAGAACTTGGAGGATGTTATGGAGGTGAGCAAGTTGGATTTCATTAAGAAATACCAGGGTTTAGTTATTCATTTCAAATTCTGCATTTCCCAGAAAAAAACAGTTGACATGCGCTTACTTTGAAGTTAAATTAATGGGTGTGATCAAACCTCAGTTTGAAGGATGTACTGTATGCAATCAAATGCCAAAACTATCCCTGACCCATAGAGTATAAATTGTTAGATTCTCATAACTTGGTATGTTGTCACAAATAAAAGTAATAGGCCATGTGGAATACCATTGGTTATTTGAGAGTAGTGTTTTGAAATGATAAATGCAGGCTTAGTTGTGCAACACACCCAACTAGTATTCATGGAAGCTATAGTGTAACAATTTTATGCTCTAATTAAAAACTTGTACTAAGATTCAACGTATTTCTAACTACTGTTACTTTTGAAGAGTGAATCGATGGAATACTCCCCCTGCCCTACTTCCCCCCCACCCCCAACTGCTTGCTGGACAAGCAGGTATCTCCCAATTCCCCCT